AAAAAAAAAATCACAATTCTCATAAAAGGATTTTGTTCCATCTCTTTCTAGGCTAAATTATATGTGTCCTCTCTATCAAGTGTTTGCCCCATAGAATAAAAGTCCAAGGAAATGCAAACATACTCAGTTTACAGTAAAATAAATCAGAGAAAGGACGTAAATCCTCACATCTGATAGGCTGGAAACAGTTTGTCATTTTTTTTATAGTAAAAACTGACAAACGATTAATCAATTAACAAGAGCAAGAGTTGCAGCTCTGCCTCCTTTATATAATCGATTGCGACTCTTGACTGCAACTACTCACATCACATAAATGGTTATTCAGATATTCAGTTGGAAAATGCACAGTACATCCATATGTGAAGCTAATAAGAGCGTTAGAGTGGCTCTTTGGTGGGAGACTGACAGGGCTAGGGCACCGTCTGTGGCTCAACTACATTGCTGTGGTTTATTCCCGTGGAAAAATGGTTCACACAGCCAGTGACGTAGCGCTGCTGAGTAAGTGTGGTGGTGAGTCTGTGCAGCTTGCCAAAGAGTGAGTGTGTTGCAGGGCTATTGTAAGTGAAGTAAGATATCTTCCCTCGGCCTAATGAAACAGGTGGCATGATGGATTCTATGAAATCGAACCCACCAGAGTGATTTTGGAGCCCTGGATTAAAATAAATGGATGTTAAACAAGGGTGCGATTTCAAGATAAGATGAGCCCGTCTGGAAAAGACTAAACACAAACAGTGTTGATCGTGTATAAAATGTTGGGTGGGTCAGGTCCAGCTCATCTAATCTAATGCAAAAGATTCCTTCTCAAGAATGTGTCGGATCGCCGTGGGAACTGTTCTTTGTTCATTGTCACCTCACAGTAATTTGTGAACTGTGTCGTGTTCTTGTTTGCACATGTTTAAGTAAGCTATCATTAGACTTCAGTTTGGCGTGCGTCAGGTCTTGCTCATAACTTTCCCCTAAATATGTGAAGTAATTTCCAATTTCCAACTGGCGTTCGTCAGTTTTGTTACCAATAAAACTAATGATACATTCTTTTCTAGTTAACTGGTATCTTTACGCAGAATGTACACCGTTTATTAACAAGTGTTAAGGAGCACAAGTGTGTTTATTTAGGGCTCTTGTAATGAATCCCAACTATAAGCCAGCTGCTGTGACCTCAGTTACTGTCGGCACACCACACTGCTTTCCCATTTCCTTTCAAGTGTTTGGCAACTACTTAACTGAGACCGACATAGGGAAACCACACAAGAAGTAATCCTACTTTCAATTGAGTCAGTGTTATTGTATCAGTATTCAGGGAGTTCCACCACATCATGCCGCTGTATTTATTTCTAGTGTGGGTTTCTCGGTGCCTGTTAATCTCCATTTCATTATAGCTGTACTGTAAATGTGTGTGTGTGTGTGTGTGTGTGTGTTGGCTGCTGAACTATAGTTTCCTCCGCAGCACTCGATGTTTTCCTCGGGTCTGACAGCGGCGGGTCTGTGTGTTATCTTGCGTTACAGTAACCACAATGGATCGACCCCTCTGGTGCTGGCGAAGAGACGCGGGGTCAACAAAGACGCCATCCGTCTGCTGGAAGGACTGGAGGAGCAGGAAGTGAAAGGCTTCAACAGGGGACCCCACTCCAAACTGGAAACGATGCAGATGGCTGATAGTGAGAGGTTAGTGTGTGTGTGTAGGTGGACTGCGGGACGGTTGTGTGGGTGTGTGGAGCCGGAGATAGCGAGTTTAAACTGGACTGATCCAGGGTCAGTGTGATATTCAAACGGAAGTTGATTAGTCATAAAGCCCTTTGTTGTTTTTTTATGAGGGCAGTGGTTACAAAAGCAAACACACTTCCTATAGAAAGAAACCAACAGGAAGATAAATTGAAAAAATGGGTCTGTAAAAGCTTTTATTTAAAGCTAAAACTCTGTACAGAAAAAAATACAATAAAAGTTCAAAGATAAGGCGATTTCATGTTGACATGGTGAAAATTTAAAATGTAAATCAGGGGGGTTAAACTCATTCGTACAGCCCAATCTGACCTCAAGTGGGCTGGACCAGTAAAACCACTGCATGACAACGCATAGATGACTTCACATTGGTCCTTTTCTTTTATTGTACAGTAGTACAGATACATAATTAATGAACACCCTGATATCAACTAGGGATGTCTCAATAGCAGAAATGTAGTAGTCAGTACCAATATCAGTGAAATTCCACTGTTCTAAATAACAAAGTAGACTTTAAACTAGCCTAACAAAGTCTCTGTCATCTCTTTTTGGTCTGGAGTGAATCTCTCTCTCCCTTCAAGCCCTGCAGGGTTTGTAGCTCCGCTGCGGGCTTTACCTGCGTTACCAGAACAAAACTGTATTCCCGCTGAATGTTTGTTTTCGTTCGTCTGTGCGTCTTTTTGACATTTTCACATTAATAAATGAAGTTAAACACCATTTAACGGCAGACCAGAGGAATCTCCGGTACTGTAGTCCGTCAAGCATCTGCTCTGCTGACATCCCTAATTTCAACGTGTCTTTTCCCACATTGAATCAGTGGATTGTCATTAGACTCGCTGTGGATTTACACCAAACGTTCAGTCACATGTATTTTGAAAACTCACATTCTCCTGTACTGAAGCTGCTCGCTGTTTAACTCCTGAAAGCCGACACCTCTCAGCACTCACAAGCCCACACAATAGCAGGTGTCACTCACACAACAATTACAGAATGTCATTTAAGTGCTGGTGTGTGAGCCTGGAAATGTATTTTATGTTTTATTGTTGCTCATAACAGAAACAGCTTGTTCACAAATGTAACTAATGCAGGTCTCATATTTCTTTCAGTGTTGTGGAAACTGGTTGAACTGAAACTGGACTCCTAATTCATTTCATATTAGCTTTGGCTGAAAATGCACTTTAGCCCAAAACAACTCTTTTGATGTACATACGGTCATTTGAGTGTTGTTGTTGTCAGTGTTATGTACATTTGTCATATCTCCCATCTCCCGGTTGCAAAACCTCCAACTGAAACCAGAGCGTACTCTTTGAACACTGCATCTACGAGTGAGTCACAGTGAGTTACAGTCTGTCTGTCTGTCTGCCCGTCTGTTTCCCTCAGCGCCATGGAGAGTCACTCTTTACTCAACCCGAACCTCCAGAGCAGCGAGGGGGTCCTGTCCAGCTTCAGGACCACTTGGCAGGAGTTTGTGGAGGATCTGGGCTTCTGGAGAGTGCTGCTGCTGCTCGTGGTCATCGCCCTCCTCTCCCTGGGGATCGCGTACTACGTCAGCGGCGTCTTGCCTTTCTCCACCAGCCAGCTGGAGCTGGTGCACTGAGGGGGAGAGCAGAGAGGACGGTGTTAAAGAAGAAGAAGCATGGGGTAGTGAAATAACCAAGTGAAGTTCCGCTTTCAGTGCTTATACCAGAACACAAACCCAGATTTCTGTTTTATTTGCAGGCCAGATCTCGTCTTGATTGTCTAGACAGGGAGACATCGTATTGTTGTTAGAAAAATGATCTAATTATTTCTAAAAAAGAAGTTAACCAAAAGAAGAAAACTGACACTAGACACTAGAAAAAAATCTACTGCAAAGCTTGAGGGGATTACCAAGTCTTCTGTAGCTCATACTAAGGAATCATTGGTCTTGTTTGAATATTGTGTAACATATCCCCTTTAAAATGAGATCTCAGTTAAAGCTGACTCATTGGAGTGAGGAAAATACGACCATCTTGTTTTCTTAACACAACGACATTTCCTTTTAATCTCTGTCATACTGTTTGTTCTGTTACGAGCTGTATATTGCCAATGTTTTTGTATCTTCTATTTTTCTTATTTGTCAGATTTTTTCATTTGTGTTATTTATCAAATATCCTCTGTGTTCATTATCCTGCGTATACTGTGTGTTTTTGTTCAAACTCCTCTACCCCGCGTCTAACATTTCATCGATCTCTTGTTCCCATTGGAGTTTGCGTTGTACTTCGACTGCGTGCCCTTCTGAGATAAAGCTCCGTGTTCGACAGCTCTTTAAGACATTCCCGCCAGCAGCATGAGGCTTTGTTGCATTGAAAAACGCTACAGTGTAAACATTACAGAGAGGCACAACGCTCCTAAACTGTAGGATTATTATCCATTTAATGATTATTGTTTCATTGTACATTAATTTTATCTTCATGTCCCTGTAAACCATGTAGATTTTATTTGTTGTTGTTTTTTTCCACTTGATTTTCAGTGTACAATAACACATTCGCAGTACATCCTAATTTTAAGGTGGATAAATGAATAAAATCATGTGTATGTATGATTCTAATGAACTATTGTCAGATGTCTCATTTCTCTGCTCAGCGGCGCTTTAATGTAGCAGCTACTGTGGTTACGTTTATTTACAGAGCAAACAGGTTGAAGTGCTTTACAAAGCGATTAAATGAACGCAGGCATACAAAGGGGATGTAAGTAAGCATGGGGTGTGTTGATATAAGAACACACAGCATTGGCACTAAAGTAAACTGTTCAGGAATGTGATTATGGTGATAATAAGGAGGTTAAAGATAAGTAATGGGTATTTAACTGGGTAGATAGAGGAGGGAGACAACTAATGTCTTCCTGCTAGTGTCAAATCTCGCTGCTGTTGCTTCACAATGCGGCAGCGAGATTTGTCACTGGCAGGAAGAGATTAATTAACTAATAACGCTGACTGATTGTTAGTTTGGACTACCAGTCTGAAAGTCTTTAACAGACAGGAATGATTTAAAATTTGCAAGTGATTTAAGAGGACAGAAACTAGTGCCGACAACTGAGTTGATTGGATTTTTTTTGCTCAGGCCTGAGGGCTCTGATGGCGGTTGATGATAGCTGACTGTTGTCCCAAAGGAACATTAAGATCTCAGTTGTTTTCTGGTTTGGTTGAAAGAGGTTCAGCGCTGTGTAAAAAGGAAGACATTGTCCTAACAAATAGCTCAATAAAATCACAGAATTTCACACTTACTCTACCTAAACATAAATCTTTAGTCTTTAATCCACCTGTTTATCTTTTCATGGACATACTGGTATTGTTTGCCAACAGGCTGTCTTGACTTCACAGGTTCACTTCCTGATATTGCAACTCTCACTGGAGGGTGTGATCGTCCAAAAACAAAACAAAACGTTTTTACAGGATATGCGTTAGCGGGTTAATAAATCTGGCGCAACACACTTACAACATTACAGCATTAAAAACAGGGACCTCCCCCCCCCCACCCCCTCTTAACACTGAGCTATAGTCCAAGAAAAAGGTAATATCTTTTTATATCTTATTTATAGATATATATCTTTATTCACATTCATATTTTTTGTCTTACTTCTATTGGGAATAACCATTCTGTGAGTTTTGGAACTACATTTCAGGAAGAATAATATTGCTATGTGTTTCCAGTGAGTAATCCTGTTTTAGACTTGCACTGTTAAAAGTATGAATCAGCAGTTCCTGTTGGCAGTGTACTCGCTGGATGTACAGACAGCGATCAATAAATAATAAGTAATAATAAATAATAATAAGATTTATGGACTATCTAGACTATTTCATTTGAAAGTCACACACTATTTATCTTAGTCTACAAAGTAAATACAGCTGCTAATTTAAAGTAGTAGAGTCAAAATTGTATGACACGACTTAAATCTGACTTGAAACCAAGTCTAGTCATAGCCCAGCTTCATAGAAAACAGTTACTCACGTGTCCACCACCATTTCCCTGTTAATACAACACATCCTCTGATGTATAACTTCATACATCACACACACCGACACACACTGACACACACACACACACACACACAGGGACAGTTTCCAGCCCAAAGCTCTTTGTCTAACATAATTGGGGGGTAGCAATAGTTTCCACAGACCTCATTTCGAGTGTTTCAAAATTAGCTTTTTACCACAAACACTGAAGGAGACAGGCTGCCCATCTAAACCAGATCCGGAAATATTGTGTTCTTATAACCTGCAAAAGAAACCTTCCTGATGTTTTTCACAGGTAAGACAAAAACAAGTCTTTGTAAAGTCCACAGTTTTTTTTAATACACTGAACCTAAACCAGAGCTTTAAGAAAAAAATGAAAGCATGCCACACATACTGCAAAATAAACAGCTAACTACACAGCAAATTTAATTAAAATAAACCAATACCCATAAATGAGCCTGCAGGCAGCAGATAATCGTAAGGCGAGGCAACTCCTGCACCAATGGCCTACAGTCTGTCCTGATGCAGGTACTAAGGGTACCAAGGGCCCTTTAATTGTTTGTTTGAGCAAAGATATGATACTTAAAATGGTAGGGTTGAAGCTTACATTGTGATGTCTTTAGACTGAATGAGAACGTAACGGTTTTAACTCACCCTTTGACTTCAGGCCCCAGCCCAACAGAAAGAAGAGAGGGGCAACAATCAAAGCTGTCAGAGCTGCTGCAGTGGCGAGCAAGATCCAGTTTCCCATCTTGTGTCCAGTGGCGCTCTGTGTCGGCTATGAGTGGGAGAAAGAGATAGAAGAAGGAGAAATACATGTAAAGCTGCAGTAGGAAACCTTTAAAAAAATTACTTATTGGTCATGCTGATAGCAACGAGACAGATCATCCATTAGTGCCATTAACCCGTCCTGATCATTGATTTACATTGGCCACAAGGGCATATTAGTAAGAGTGAAGAGGGTAAAATAAGGTAAGGATACAGCTACAGGAGGAAGCAGTCCTGCCACATCAACGCTGTTCACAAAGAACATAAGGAAATATAGAAAAACAACAAAAGCAAAAGTTGGTTGGTTGGTTTTTATGCCCCTGAACTGTTGAACTCACTTTTCATGTTTTACATTTCATCATTTTTACGTGTGGTTTCGATATGTTATGTGAAGCACTTTGGGCTGTATGTTTGTGTGAAAGGTGCAATATAAAACAGTTGAGTTGTCATTGAAGTTAATAACAGGTGTAAATCCTGATAAAGTAGTTATTGTGCAGCATACCTGCAATGACTCATGACAATATTAGGCTATTAAGGCATTATAAAGCATTATTGATTTCGTTGGTTTGTGCTTTGGTAAGTAAGTAAGTAAGTAAAGCTTTATTTATATAGCACCTTTTTGACACAGAGACCCAAAGATGCTTTACAAACAATAAATATACATATGGGTATAACCATACCCAATCACACAAACATAGGGAGCATGTAAATACAAACATACCGAAGATAAAGCAAGAGGGAAGGATAAATTAAAAGAGAGACGACAGATGAGGAAACAGACAGGGACATCTATAAAAAGGGCAACAATGATACAGTGATACTTACAGTGAGCGGTGGGTGAGGGGTCGTCTGATCCGAGTTTCTCTTGGTGACCTTTATCCTCACAGCAGCAGGGTCTCCCCACCCCTCTCTCACGTCCCCCCTGTGCGCAGAGCAAAAGAAATCCCCTCCATCCTCCAGCCGGACCTGATCCCACATCAGAGACCAGTCTCCG